GAGCGAACATAAACTATCTAATTGTGCTAATCTCTTAGCTAGTGATTGGACGTGCGTGAAAGTGTCATAGAACAATTTAGATCTCTCTTAAATTGTTCTATGTGCAATTAGAATTTTAGTGGTCGTTCCAGGTTACAAATGTATCTTAGTATATTTGGAAGGAAATTTATCAAGTAGCTTGTTGTGAGATGAAGGAATTTCAATAGTTCTTTTGTAACAATATAACTTGTTATATTGTTGTGAAGTTCCTCCTATCTTAGTGCAGCCTTCTAACTTCAGCCTTCTATCTTAGTAATTGTTATTTACTAATTTTACTATTGTGTACTTGTAAATTACAACAACCATGAACCCCAACTAAGTTACTAAATTAATTAACGTTATTGAGATAATTAGCTACACTATAAGAAAAAATCTCCCTAGTTACAAAAAAAATCATCAATATTCTGCACTTCATCTGCATGCGAGGTTAGAATAAACAAATTTCGAAGTCCTAATCTAAGTGAGCAGATTCAATGGCAGCATACACAATAAATTTACTCCACCCTTATGGACCTCAAATTAGGTTTCTCCTTCATCAATACTCTTCACTTCATCTGCATGTGATGATCCTCCTTCACTAGTCCTATCGCACATCAGGTTTCCTCTTGGCCGGGATAGCAAGTCGGATATCTCACATGTCTCTCTTTTTACGAACTCTCTGGAGTCAGCACGCTGCAAGCAAGAGACCTTATCTACACAATGATTTGAACTCTTCTTTTTAAGCATCCAGCTCCTCTTCAACACCTTTGATTTCTGCCTTGTACTCTGAAGTGTCAAACCCTTCTTTCTCTTATCCAGCACACTAAGTTTCTATTTCTTCCTTATTTGTTCAAGAAGAGCATCAACTGCAGAAACTGTCCCTTCTGGATGACATTTGACTATGCGATGATCCCTATTTTAAGCATTGCAAATTTACACTTTTGAGCATATATGACACCCACCTGTGCAATTCTGTAAACATGATGTGGATAAAATGTTGGAGTTTAAGTGATAGAAAACGTTGGAGCTTAAGCAGGTTCTTGCAGTGAATATATGATTCCCACTTAGCTTTCATCATAAACCACAACAATATCTTTCTGTCAGAGTAATCAGTATTAGAAATTAGTTTGCAGCTACAAATTGGACTAATTTTGACCTGATATAAAAAGGTATTTAACTGTAGGAGTGATAAACTACAAAAACAAAAAACATGAAGAAAGCAACAAAACTTTCAGACATACACTCAAAATATAAAATTTGAAAAGATAAAAGTCCTAAATCTCTACTTTAATAAAAGCGAAAGGTGTACAGCAGGAAATTAAGCTTGGTTTTCTTTTCCGGAGTTAGGAACAGAACATGCAAAAAGTATTAAGATTTGTCTCAAGTAACCAAGAGTCTCTTCCAAATAGTACCCAGCCATTAGCACCTTATATTAAAACAATTTCTACGGTCTAAAATTTCTATGTAACTATGTTATGTATGTATAAAATGAGGATTTCTGCTTTTCAAATTTCACCATATTGTAATATTTACTTCACTAACTATCACCCAAATGGTTGCTAACATATTATATTATATATTATGTATGCAAACAGAATGTGGATTGTTACATTTCCATCCAGGCTTCTATAATTCTATGCTTCTTCTCAAGACCAGGCCAGGAAACCTTTGCTTTTTCTCACTTTAAGAATCTGATCAATACACACCTTATTAGTAACTACGAAGTATTTGCTGGAATGTTTCATTGTCACTATGATAGCAGCGGATGATGTTTTTTACTGGTTGGTAAAAATCATGCAGCTTTCTCCGCGAGTTTTTCCTTAATAGCTAGCTGCTTTGCTTCTTAATTTTCTCCACCTATAAAATCCAGTTACATATATCCCAGGAAATGAACTGCCCAAGCTTCTAAAACAATCCTATATAAGGTTTGTACATGATCAAATGTTTAAAGTGTGAAAAAGGGGGTTTTGGTGACGTAGAAGACAGAATCCTAATCTCCTTCAAAGTGCGCTGATATTCCCGACGTTCTTTGGCATATATACCTCATTTAAAACCTTTAAGACAAAGGGAAACTGATTCACAAATTACAGCACCTCCCCGTCATCAAGTCGTTCATGTTAGACCATCCTCTGTACTTTGCTTTAGTACAAGAGCAAGAATGCGTACATCCGACCCCTTACCTCACCGTAAGTGGGAGCTTTTGCGACCTTACCCTGGTACAAGGATTGTCCGGGTGAAGAAAAAATCTGCACCGAATGGATGATTAGCGTAGAGAATAAATTCATAGAAGTGATAATAATGTTCCATCCTTTGCAATGGAGCCAAAGTCTCACTATTTTTGGGCTCGGGAATATGATAGAATAAACTAATAAAGTAAAATGGCTCCCTAAATTGGCTTCTTTGTTATGCAGCAGTAGTTAGTCTAACAAAGCATTCCAGCCCAGCTATTTGTGAGGTTACCGTGCATAGTGGGAGGTCTCGAGTTCGAAACCCGCTAGGCACATAAGAAACAAAACATTACTCCAGGCTCCCCCAGCCCCCTCCCCCAAGACCCACCCTGGAGTAAAAAAAAGAAGAAGCAGTAGTTAGGCTGTGCAATTTTCGATGTGAATTTCACCATGGGTCATCTGGAATAGTCTCCCTGTGCTTTAGCATAGAGTAAGACTGCATACATTCGATCCCCCTTACACCATCGTAGGTGGGAGCCTTTACCACACTAGGGTAATCAGGTAATGTTGATGATGAAGGAGTGATAATAAGAGATGAACCACAAGGTCCACAGGGAAGAATGAATTAACACGGTGAAGAAATCAAACGAAGAATTTTGCAAAAGGGGGTGATGGACTGATGGTACGTGCAGTGAAGAAACAAGAAGGATATTTTAGGAATGGGAGTGGATTATACGATCCACTGAAGAGAGGCGTTACTTTCTTTAACATTAACATTGTACAATCCAAACATATCTACTGAGTATTTTATAAGTATTGACTGCAAAGTATACAGAATCAATCTTTGGTGAAGAGAGGTCTCATTTGGTAGTTTACAAGTTAAATCTTTGCACGCGAAGTGATTGCATGCAAAGTATAGAGAATCAATCATTTTGCATCTAAAATACTACCTCCGTCCTTTAAAACTTTGCCAAAGTTGACCGACACGGAGAATAATAAAGTAAAAACCGTGTAGTTGAGTTTTGTGCACAGGAAAGAGAAATAATAGAAACCACAAAATAATTGTTTAAAAGGAAAAGTGGAAAAGTTTTTTGGGACGTCCCAAAAAGGAAATATGACAAAGTTTTAAGGGACGAAGGGAGTAGATTACATTGTTTGGCTAGATGTGTAATTTATTGTTAAATTGCACGCAAAGTCGTTGAAGTGCTTCATGAAATGCATGCTTAGTATTTTACCATCCTCCCCCACGTAAAATATTTTACATTGTACAATGCGAAATGTTTTAAAAAGTGCCCAATAGTTTACATTAAATAATCAAACCTAACAGTGTTAACATTTTACGTCCTTACACTTCACATGCAAAGTAATTATTTTACATCCTACCAAACGCTCCCTGAATGTTGAAAAATTTCAGTCGATTATGAGCTCAAATTGTGTGACGTAGGGAGCCTAAATACATTAAAGACATATTCAGATCAATACAACAATTAGTGGAAGCAAGATATGGAACTACATACCTCCAGCCGTTTTTGATGAACAACTCACTGCCCTTGCTTGCTTTGCACTTCCAAGCCCTTCTCTTCACTCAGTTTTGATTAGGGCTGCACAAGAATAACCCGTACCCGCATAACCCGCCCGACCCGACCCAACCCTACCCGACCCTATTTAATCGGGTATTTGATTTTTAAAAATATTCATGGGTTAGATATGTTTGAACCCGCCCCTAATGGGTAGGGTTGCGGAATTAAAATCTCAAACCCGATAGTACCCGACCTGGCCGAAGTTCATTTTACTATTATTATGCTACAACGTTTTCTTGGATAATTTCAATTTAAGACCAATGTGCTCTATCTAGGACTTTATGATATTAGAATTATAATTAAACATTTATCATTTTGACTAGGTGATTATTATATATTTACGTTTCCTTCTAAATGAACTTCCTTTACGGAAGGATGTTTTAATACTATTACCTAATGTTTTTGCTTATAAAAGATACTAGTACTTGTATTTGTTTGTGTGTTTTGGAAACAAGTTAATCGAGTTTTAAATCGGTTACATTAATTTCCCACATGAAAGATGCAACCCGAAATGATTTTTTCTCCAATACCCGACCCTACCCGACCCATTCATGCATGGTTTACCAACTTATTTTGCCTACCGCGGGTTGGTTAATAGCCAACCCGAACAAATCGGGTAGACCCAAAAAATATAGCAAACCCGACCCAACCCGCCCGATGTGCAGCCCTACTTTTGATGGTGTTTGCTAGTGAAGACTGAAGAGCAGACTCAGGGTGCAAAACAAGAGCCAATCTTGCTCCTATTTAGGGAGTGTTTGCAACTGTTTCAAAAAAAGCACTTCTCGACTTTTGGCTTAAAAAAAGCTAAAAAGAGTATTTTCAAATGACAACTTCTACTTAAAAAAACGTTTATTGAATTGACTTTTGTGCAAAAAGTGCTTTTTACTTTTTCTATTACGCAAAAAACACTTATTTTAATAAACACTATCAACTTTTACTTTTCAAAATCAATTTTTTCTCAAACACTATCAACTTTTACTACTAATCACTTTTCCAAAATCACTTAAAAAATGCTTTTTAAGCAAAAACAATTACAAACACTCCCTTATCCCTTATGGAGTCTCCCCATCGTGCAACACAAAAAGTGGGAGAAAGTAACCTTAATCTTCTCTCACTTAGTTGTGTGGGATATAGGTAATCCTTATCTAAATAAATAGACCAATTCTGAAACAATATTCCCTTGAATATATTTATTTTATTTACAAAAAAATAAGGTTAAAATACTAACTCAATACTCCGTCATAAGAGAGAAAACTAATATTCTCTCACTTGGTTCATTTAACCCATGATCAAACATAATAAAAGATCAAATCTATGATTCTATGAATCACGGAGTTAGTCTTTTGCTATAAAATATTACCATAGTACTTCGTATATTACAGTATACCAAGTCTCCTAAACATATGCTCTTAAACGCGCTCCAGTTGAAACAAACTGGATGGATAGGGTCATCCTATTCTATTTCATTGTGGATGCCATCACACACATATTGGATAAAGATAAAGAAACGTAACTCATAGTCACCAAAGTGTAATTGATATGTGAATCAGGTCGTCCATTCAATTACTTGAGCTAGTAACTGTTTCTTTGTGAAATTACAAAGCGGTTTTCAGGTCACCTCCATATTAAAGAGTTAATTATTCAAATACGAATAAGCATGGGAGATGTGCAAAAATGGGAGTTAGGGTATCAAAATTTCCCAGAAAGGGTTTTTTTTTTTCTAAATGGACAAGAATGCATCTGCCCTTGCCAAACTTACTGCCTGCATGCTATAGTGCCACCGGATGCCAGAGCTCCGCCGCTGGCTGCTGACATAGTGCCATGCCAGAATGCTGCCACCGACGTCGGATCTGCCTCTGCATCCACCGGAGCTCCAACGAGTCCAAGAAAAATTCCATTTTTTTTGCCCGCCTGCCACCGCCGCAGTTGCCGGAGCTCCACCGCTGCCTCCACCACCAACAGACTGCCCCGGTTACCCAAGGGAATTAGGGAGGAAAATTAATTAGTTTAATAAGGGTATTGTGGAATGAAAATCAAGGGTGATTTACATGCAATGCAATGCAAAAAAGCGGGGAATGTTTTAGGGTTTATGAAAATATGGAAGTGGGAAATCCAACTGGAGATAGGGTTGGTTTAATTGTAAAAAAGCTCTAGTTGAAAGTGACGTGGGGAATCCAACCAGAGATAAGATTTATTTTAAAAAATTGGAATCACACTCCTGTTGGAAGTTGCACATCCGGCTAGAGTTTTTTTTTTAATAATTGCTCAATTATTATATTTTGAATAAATAATGATTTTTTAATAATTTCGAATAATGATCACAAAAGATAATTTCAAATCAAAAATTTTGAAATTAAGCGGGTGATTATCTTTATCTGATTAAATTTTATCTGATTATATTCACCCGATTAAATTTATCTGATTATATTTACTTGATTAATTTTATCTGATTATATTTATCTTATTCAAATTTATCTGATCAAACTTATTTGTTTAAAAGTTATCTGATTAACTATATCAAATACTATCGTAGAATTTATTTGCTTAAATTTATCTGATTAAATTTATTTGATACATTTAATAGAAGCACTTTTTTCTTAAACACTACCAACTTTCACTATTTAACACTTTTTTTCAAAATCACTTTAAAAAACACTTTATTAAACTAGACTAGAAGCAATCGGAAACACTCTTTAAATAGTGTCAAAATCAAATTAATGTAGTGATCTTTTAAATACAAGGTCGTATTAGGGAGACTTAATTATTATTGTTTTTGAAGTTGTAGTTATAAATCTTATAACACTAAAAGCCCGTTTGGTAGCACGAAAATCGGTTGATTTGGCTGATTCTGTTGAAATTTATGAAGTTCTGACTGAAGTGGCTGCATTAGCTGATTCTGCTGATTTAAGAAAAAAATATTTTTAAAATATATTTTATTAATAAAATAAAGAAAAATTATATGTAAAATAACTAAAATGATCCTCTACAGTAACTTTAGCCAATGCGGCCAGAAAAGTAAGTTCAACCTTATTTTTTGTGCTTATTACACAATCAAAAAACTGTTAGTACCCACTCTTATACCCACTTTTGTACCCACCATGTTTGTGAGAAGTTTGTTTTTGTCTGAGAATTCCGGTCATAGATAAAATATGTCTATGTAAATTATTTTGTCTGTGAATCGGATACACAGACAAAAAAAACTCCTCACAGACATGATGAGTATAAAAATGCGTAGAAGAAGAAGTTGCCTCCCATATAAATTAAACCCTTCCCCCAGAAACTCTTATTTAGCGAAAAGTCATCTCCCAGCTAGCCATTACTTTATATTGTAAGTTGGGTGTGTCACACCGTGTGTGTTTGATCCAATCAATTCTAAGGCAAAATTATCAGAATAAAAAGTTGAGTTCCATTTTGTCATTCAAAATTCCAAACCACAATTTTGTTGGTTTGACTTGACGTACTCAATTCGGTTTTAGTTCTTCTTTTTGACAAAACAAATTCTATTGATTAAAAAATCACAGTAACCGCAAAAATAAGTAAAAAATAAACATACATCATACAATAAATAATGTCAACACAATACAAAGAATTGAAATGAGAAGGAACAATAAGTTTTCCAGGAATAAACTACAAAATGCACCTCATTAAACTTTCTGTAAATCATTTTAAATAAGCGCATACGTTAACATATGAAATTAATAACGCGTAGACTCAACTTAAACCTTTGTTTAAAGGTTGTATACTTGTATACAATGATTCTTTTTCAAGCCAAAAGATTTTTTATTGACGACAAATAACTTAACATACACTTATTTAACTTTTTTGTAAGGCAAACATGCATATATTTGTGTCAAATTTTCACACATCATATTTATTTGTTTGAAAGTAGTTGAATATACATATATTGTCTAATAAGGTATAATTTAGATAAAAACTTAAAAAGTCACCTATTCAGCAATATAAAATAGTGTGGAACAAATAAAAGTAACATTATATTATACACAGTATATATAACATTTGAATAGAACAGCTCCTATAACAATAAAAAGACCTCATGAGGCATAGATGTTCGCCAATAAAGACTTCGTTTTCCCCATGAATACCTAATGCTATTGGATAAAACCTTGTTTTTCCATCAAACAAGACAACACAACTAAGCACACTAAAAAGAATGAGATAAAAACAAGTCTACCACATGGCATAATATTGCATTTGATCCTTGTTAATTACCACTGCAATGTTCATTCGTCAAACGTCTCCATTCTAACGCTGACAACAGCTTTCGGTTCAACACCTACACAATTGATGACGATGCAAAGGTCAATTCTACCCTCGGCCACCTGATATGATGTATGCATGTATGTATGATGTATGCATGTATGCATGCATTGGGGCCTCAGTTAATTAAAGACAAATAGGAGAGTAGCTTAGTCCATACTAAAGGTTTCATATTATGTACTCCGTAAGATGTTTAAATCTACTGGTTTTAGTTGCAACAATAAATCAGATCATATCAAACCTCAACAATTATAAATACCATTGAAAAGACATCTAAGCTCTAGCAGACTAAACTTCAAAAGACTAGAACCAGATCGGAAAATTATAGTCCAATTAAAGACATTCTTAAATTTATGTCTACTTCACCAAAAAATATCTGCATGCAATAGGTGAAGTTTCTAATTTTCTATCATGCTTATATACTAAACAACAAAACTAATTGATGTAAACACTTGGCAAATTATAGTCCAAGCAATTAGCCTAAGATGTTTTAGCTATGGGTCATTATATTCCAAGCAATTAGTCCAAACAACAAAACAATTTCTTTGTGCTTTAACATAAGGTGTTTTAGTACAAGGGTAGTACAAGGGTAAGACTGTATACATCCGACCCCCTCTTACCCTACCATAGGTGGGAGCCTTTGCGGTACCAGGATAATGATGATGACGACGACTTGGCAAAGATGAGGAGCATGTTGGATTAAACTTACTTTTAATCGCCGCACGAGGATTTAGAGGATTTAAATATGGCCTATTGCCCCAAACAGTGGGCACATCTGTATAAAAAGGAAACAGGCCAAACTTCATACCTTATATATCAATCAACAAAAGACAAACATCAACCAATTTCCATCACTTCATTTAAAGAGAGAAATGGAAGAAAGGAGAATATATAGAACCTTGAATTTTACATGAGGTGTTAGAATCAACCTTGTAGGCAAACGTGTAGTGTTTACGGTTGAAGGAAATAACATCGTAAACCCTCTTCTTAGCTTCTTCCCCACTTAGACACATCAGAAAACACAATTACGACGCAATAACAATTATATAAATAAAAAAATGAATAGACAGCGACCAGAAAACTAATCCAGCCGATCAAAATTAGTACATACAAGAATAAACATTCCTTTATTTACGAGAAACTCCATCAACAAGCCAAACCAAATAAATAAGAAACTACAAAATAAATCATTACCCCCATCCCACGAATATTGGGAGAAGTTGGCGCGGTTATTAACAAATATGAGTTTATGTGTTTCAAATTAAATTGATAAAATAAGTATAAGGTAAAAATGATTAAAAACGAACAAAACCTACCAAATTTGATATGAGAAAATCTTGGTAAGATGGATAGAAAAGGAAAGATGAAACAATTTTAGCTATACGGGAAGTACAAAATTAACTCAAGAAATTATACATTATAGCAGGAGTAAAAATAGCTGAAATCCACATGAAAGAGTAGTATTTGGTGGATGATTATTGCCCCAAATCTATAACTTTGACAACTTTTGATTGTCAATAAAATTTCACAAACAATATAACAGTCATCATTTTATTTTCATTTACCCCAGTGCCGCAAAGACTCCCACCTACGGTAGGGTAAGGGGGTCGGATGTACGCAGTCTTTACTCCTGTACTAAAGCACAGAGAGACTGTTTCAGGATGACCCGTAGTGAAAATCGCGTCCAAAATTGTATGGACTGACTGTTTCTTCATAACAAAGAATCACAAACAATATAAGAGTACTATGGTTATTATATGAATGATTATTACAATCGAAAAAAATCTGTTATTGGTATATTGAAACTTCGCAAACAATATAACAATAATATTGTCAATATATGAATGATTATTAGAGAATTCATCAACCCGAATTATCGCGGATCAGTGAATCATCTATGCACACACAATAAAAGGCATATAAGGTAATTACCTGCCAACAACTTTGGTTAGCGTTTTGGTATAGAAGTCTATCGATTTCTCTTCATCCTCTGGTTCTTCATCATCTTCATCATTAGGGTATTCCACGGAAACCCTCCATCGTTCAAAGTCCATCCTAGGGAAATGGAGCATTATTTCAGCACACTCAATGCAACAGGTGGTCAGGGTCAGGATTGAGGAGACGCTGGCGCAACATCTGACCACATGAAGAGAGGAGGGGATGTGAGGCGAGCGATTGGCGGGGGGCGGCAAAAGACGGCGCTTCACACCGGAGACGATTGTTCGCAGAGCCATGTGGATTCGTATTCCGTTCTTACTTCTATAAGGGAAAAGGGGCAAATACCTCTTAAACTTTTATTTTGTGCAAAATACTTTAAAATCATTGCAAAGTCAAAGAGGGCAATCACCCCCTTGCTAACGGTGAGGCGGTGAGCTACTTAACGTTAGTTACGTTACAACCACGTAGTATCTATTCGTTCCTTTGGTTACTATGACCATGTATAACAATTTAAATGCATTTTTAATACTTTTTCTTTTAATTTCAGATTATGCTCTACTAATAAAGAAGTAAAAGAACTAAATCTAGAATATTTTGGTCCTAAAATCGCATACTTCAACTCTTTTCAAATAAGTGTAACATGTTGAATTTTACACTATTCACATGCTCTAGTTCAACTATTCTTTATTTATTAATGTATCAATAAATTATTATTTTTGAAAATATTTTTGAATTTTTCTCATTGTATATTTTCAAACTATCTTTTTTATTAATAGAGAAATATACTCCCTCCGTCCCTAAATTAATTTTCAAATTTCATTTTTTCATCTTAAAATAATCTTCTTTTGACAAAGAACTTGTGGTTCACAACATGTTTTACACATTCTTACACGTTTCTCTCTCTTCAATTTAATCCTCCACCACACAATTTTTTCTTTCTTCATTCCCGTGCAAAACCAACTTCGGAAGATAATTCAGGGGCGAATGAAGCATATATTAATGATCAAAGTTATGTATTGACAAAAATGAAAAGTGAACTTTAGCACTTATTTATGAACGGTAGAAGTATTACGCAAATGTCAATTTATCATGACTACCAAATACAAGATATTCATTAAAAAACAAATATTCCGTACAATACAAATTAATTGGTTAAAAGAATTGAGGGAACCTAATAAACACAATAACACTAGTGACGTGGTACGAAATTTTCCCTAATTTTTTATATTCCATATACTACGTATATTTTTTTGGCAATGTACTCCATATATTTTTAAAAAACGAATAAATCCGAATCGAACTAAAAACAATTATTATATTATTAAAAGATAACAAATTCAGACCGAATCATACTGAAGTATGTTGTAATTTTTATTGGGTCATGAACGGAGGCACAACAACATCAAGTCGCTATACTAGTGTGTTTTCGATCACGGAGGAAATCCACGATGAAAATAACAACGGCGCATCCAGCCGCAATGAGTGTTTATTGGGTTCCCTAGATTATCTTTTAAACCAATTAATTTGTATTGTATTTATTTGTTAATTAATATCTGGTATTTTATATATATGATAAATTGACAAATGCATAATACTTCCTCCGTTCTTGAATAAGTGTCAAAATTCACTTTTCATATTTTTAAATGCATAACTTTGACCATTAATATATACTTCATCTGTCCCTGAATTATCTTCCAAAGTTGGTTTTGCACGAGATTGAAGAAAGGAAAAAGTGTGTGGTGGAGACTGGAGAGTTGTATTGAAGAGAGAGAAATATGTAAGAATGTGTAAAACATGTTGTGAACCACAAATTCTTTGAAAAAAAAGATTATTTTGAGACGGACGAAAAAGAAAATTAGAAATTAGTTCAGGAACAGAGCGAGTATAATTCTATTAATGAAAAACAGATTTCGAAAACTTCAAATGATACAAATTTAAAAATATTTTAAAAATAATAATTTATTAATACATTAATAAATAAATCATAGTTAAAGTAAATCATGTGAATGGTGTAAAATTCAACATGTTTCACTTATTTAAGAATGGAGAAAGTATGTCCTGATTTTAGAACCAAAATATTTTTGATTTAGTTCTCCCACTGGAATTAAAAGAAAAATGTTAAAAATATTGTCACATTGAAATTGTTATATACGGTCATAGCCACTAAAGGAACAAAGTTAATACGGAGTAGTTGCCAACTCCGTTAACTAAGTTCACGTTAAGAAGGGGGCGAATGCCCTCCATTCATTGGTTTTAAAGTTTTTTGTCAAAAATAAAGTTTAAGGGCATAGATGCCCTTTGGTGAATAGTTTAAGGGTTTTTTTCCCCTTTTCCGAAGTATAATCTTTTGAAATTTGATTGATTCTATTTAAGTCAATCGGATAAATATTTGGTGTATGCATATTTTATAAACATATAAAAAAACATATCGAGTGGAAAGTTATAAAATAATAAAGCAACACCCTAATTTTATATAATGGAAACACATGTAGAGCCTATTTGGTAATACTAAAATGGATTTAATCGATTGATTCTGTTGAAATTGATGAAATTGAAAAAGTTGAATTGATTAAGTTTGTTGAATTATTAAAAACTTATGTTGAAAGATATTCAAGCACATTTAAAAAAAAAAAAAAGAAATTCAAGCATTAACTCTAAACATTTGACTTTTTAGGTAACCACAAATGAGCTTATTTATTTGAGTAAAATACAGTTTACATTGCAGTTATAAAAATAAAAACGATTAAATTATGTTGAAGATTTTATATTTGTTTTTCAAAATTTTAGTATACATTTTTAGTGCAGAATTTATGCAGGATGCATAAGGAAGAACCCAATCATGAAGGGGAACCGGTGAATTTATCCGACTTGTACGTGGGACGAGGAGAGTTGCACGGGCTTCGTATAGGCCAGTTTTCAAGTGGTACCAATGGTACGGCCTCCTTCTGGACCACCGCCTTGGATTGTACGAGGTGCTAGAGTCCATGAAAGTTTTTCTATTAATCATTTTATTTTGTCATTTGGTTTCTTGTTTACGTCCATGTTGTTAGGTTTTTCAATTCGTTTGGGATTTCAGCCTTTTTTTTATGTCATTGAGTATGTTTGGATCTATGGGGACATGGATGGTTGTGTCAAGCTCATTACATGGTTAGCGATTCGTGTTACTCTTTCAGAGGTGACCGTCTCTAAGTCTGATCATAGGGTTTAAAGTCGTACTGTTTGGAATTTAGTTGGTGTCTGTTTTGTTTTTCCTTTGATTGATGTAATGATCCTGAAACTTATGATATGAAAGAAGACTATTTGATGATAAAAAAACGTTTTGACAAAGCAAATATACTTGATTGACTATGAAAACACAAGTTGATGTACTTTAAAAGTTCGAATGCAATATGAACTACTACTTACTCACGTCGAAACACATTCATGTATCATTTTAACCATTTTCTCTTTTGTTTTGGCGATGCAAGAGTTATTATAAATTTAAAAATGAGAGGTTGTGAAAAAATTATAATGAAAATTACATATGTGCTCATTCAGTGGTATTAGTGAGATAATAGATTGGCCTTCTTGATTTTTTATTGTTTAGACCACTAATTGTTTTGATATTCACTCCAAAGGGCTCGGTTAAGACTGTCCAGCGCAAAAGCCCAAGTAACTTACATAGTGGGTCGAAACGTCGAGTTCTACCGTCGAGGGCAGAATCACAACCCAAGCCCAGCTCTCAAAGGCAAGCCCATTCTATTCCAGACCAAGCTGTTCTAGCATGATCACGCCTTACGATTGCAGCCTCTGAATTCCGTGCTGACTATGGATGTTTTCTTTTGGATTGTTTTTAGACCCAGACCAGATTAGATTAGACCAGACCAGACCAGACCAGACCAGACTTCCGTAGTTATAAAATACACAGAGACCAAACGTTTACTAGACCAGACCAGTTCGAACCAGACAAGATCAAACCAGACCAGACCAGATCAGAAAAGAAAACATGCTAGATCCACATTGTCCCGGTTACAATTTCTACACTTCATCATTACTCTAATGTTCGAGACATACGCTCATTTAAGGCTTACATCACATCTCCTATTGTTGATGTGACAGACTCAATTCCGGAAGGGCTAACACCATCACAAATCAGCATGAAATCACTAGGCATGTCCCCCTAGTATTCTAAAGACACTTGTCATGACCAGAGGTGAACGTAGCAAGGATGGTGTGGGGGCAGCTGCCCCCAATAAAAGTCTAATAAACTCATACTCCCTCCGTCCCATAATTATCTTCATTCTTTCCTTTTTGGTCCGTCCCAAATTTATCTCCTCTTTCCCTTTTTAGCAAAGGATTTGTGGTTCACAATCATTCTTACACATTTCTCTCTCCTCTGCACAACTCTCCACCACACATTTCCCACTTTCTTAATATGTGTGCCAATTCAAAAGAGGAGTTATTTATGGGACGGAGGTAGTATAAATTATTACTCCCTCCGGTTCTTTTTAAACTTCAGTGTTTGACTTCACAGTTATTAAGGAAATAAAGTTGACTTTACTGTAGAGTACACTGTTGAGACACTGTTTGGCACTGTTGAGACACTGCTTGACACTGTTGAGACACTGTTGAGACACTGTTTGACACTGTTTAACACTGTTTTGATGTAGATTTCTTTGCCAAATAAGGAAATAAGGAAGTGTGAAGTTTATTTTGGACCGTCCCAAAAAAGAAAGTGTGAAGTTTATTTAGAACCGGAGGGAGTAGTAAAATCAGAAATATAAGCAATTGCCCCCAATTAAAAAAATTGATTGCCCACAACAATAACTCAGCCGACCAATTGTCCCACTAACTTACCTCAAAAGTTACGGCTAAATGTTACTCCCTCCGTCCCACTAACAATGGAACATGAGGGAGTGACACACAAATTAATAAATTTTTTAAAGTGAGTTATGTTGTTGATATTGAATTGATAAAGTAAGAATAAAGTAAGAATAATTTGGAGTCACATTGCCTAATCTGGTATGAGACAATCTTAGTGAGACGAACCGAAAAAGTAAAATAAGACAATCTTAGCGGGACGGAGGTAGTATATAGTAAAGAGGTTAACCTCATTTTATACTTCCTCCGTCCTTTATAATTTTGTCAACTTTCATTTTTTGGATGTCCCATTAACTTTGTCACTTCCCTTTTAAGTAAAGAATTTGTGGTTTCAGTTAATTCTTTCTACTCTGCACAATCCGCAACCACACACTTTTTACTTTATTAATCCCCGTGCCGGTCAAACTTGGCAAAGTTAGTAGGGACGGAGGGAGTACCACTTTATTTTTAAATCATTAATCAATTAATCAATTTGATAATAGAGTGTTCC